ACAGGCAGAGACTGCTAGGGTAGGGCAGAGGAAAGTATTCTGAAGAACTTGAATCATGGGGCAGTGTCCTTTCACCACATGTACAGTCCCAATAGACCAGTTCATTCTGTCATTCATGTTCGAGGACGGTGCCTGAATTTCTCATTGTGTCGGTGGTCTCATATAGTAGCATCTGTACCTTCACTTAGCAATGTTTTCCATTATCGTCGTATATCCACATTTACTTATGCTTTCTGTCACCTCCTGGCTGCACTACCATCCCTGGGCAGAAAGCTGGCCCAGCCCTGGGAACTCCAGCTTGTGCAGAGCACGTCTCCTCAGCAGCACACGGTGCTGGGAATGAGTACAGTTCCTGAAGCCTGTTTCCTGCTTTCTATGCTGGGTTCCTTTAGACTTTGTAATTATGCTGGCCTTTCTTTTGAAGATACTCTGCTCGCCTGGCACAACAAAGTCCCACCTGTTGAAGTGAGAGGGAGATAGAACTTGCTGACTGTGAACTCCTCCAGGTTCAAAGGACGGCTGCAAATGTTACCACACTCCGTCGCAAGCACAAGACACTTTTGGTTGACTCTGGCTTTTGTGTAATAAATACACGAGTTACATTTTTTGGACAAGTTAACAAAGCTTTCCCAAGTTAAATCACTCAATACTAGAAAGAAACTCTTTTCTAAATGCGCTTCCACCTCTAGGAAACAGGATGAGAAGAAGGTAATTGTGGTAGGTAGAATCATAGAACAGTTTTGTTTGGAAGAGACCTTCAAGATCATCGAGTCCAACCTTTGTCCCAGCCCTATCAACACCACTAAACCACTTTGCTCAGCACAACATCCACCCGTCTCTTAAACACCTCCAGGGATGGCGACTCAACCCCCTCCCTGGGCAGGCTGGTCCAATGGCTGACGACCCTTTCAGTAAAGAAATTCTTCCGAATATCTAACCTGAACCTCCCCCGGTGCAACTTAAGGTCATTTCCCCTCGTCCTGCCACTCGCCACCAGGGAGAACAGACCAACGCTGGCCTCACTACGACCTCCTGTCAGGGAGTTGTAGAGAGCCACAAGGTCTCCCATAGCAACATTAGTTTCATTGCGCAATGGAGTACAAGGAGTCGAAGGGTTGATAATGCAGCGATGGGCAGGGTGTATAACACAGTGTGGTACAGCGGGGTTCAACCCTGCAGAGTCATCGTTTGGGCCCACACAGAGGAACCCAGCGCTGAGTTGTACAGAGTAACTCTCCAGCCCTGGACTATGGCTGCTTTTTGTCTGGGATGAACTCTCTGTGGTGCCACTCAGCTGAAGTAACTCTGCGGTGAAAGACTGCTCCAGGCAGAAGAGCCTGCGTCACTCTGCAGTGTGCTCCTCAGCAACAATACCCCGGCTGCAGATAGGAGACACCAGCAACCCATTTAATATATCTAAACTCAAGTTCAGGACAACAATTAAAATATAAGTGCTAGTGTTAGAGAAATCTATGCAGTCATTTCAGGTGTGAAAAGAATTTAATCTCTAGGTCTATTTCCCTCAGGACTGACCTTATATGTTTAAAAAAAGCACTATTTGTAATTATAAAGTAAGCGATAAGCATCAAATGAATTGTTACAGAACCCTTTTGTTGACTTTATTCCATGATAAGGAGCAGTTGCTGTGTAACCTTGAATATGGGCGAATAACTCCTGCTAAACGCATTGCTACAAAGATGGCATTTTGGCAGGGATTTGATGTAGGTCATTTTATTACCAGGCTGAATCAAACTACAAACTGATCTCAAACTCATGCCAAGAATGCTAATAATAAACTGATCAATGAGGTGCTGGACTGTTCAAGAGAATTGGTCAAGGGAAAATGCAGACATAAAAAGTCTGGAATTCCAAAGGTTGAACTGCTGGGGCTATTATACTGGGAGGAATTATATTCCTTGCATTAGTACAAGTTTTCTTTACTCCAGGGGCCTTGAGCTGAGTGTGGAACAGGACATTGTCAGAAAGTATATACTTATCTTTATTTTTCTTGACCTTTATGTGCAAGTAATTTTTATAGTTCCATTAACTAGTAAGATCATTTGCAAACCACTGTACAAAGTATATTATGAAGAATGCCTTGGGGACCATTGTATCCTATTATGTTGAATGTTAATAGAACGAAAAATTTAATTTAAACTCTAAAGATTAGAGCAAGGCAGGACTTCCCTTTTATAGGGGAAATTCAAAATTTTATTTGCTATGGTAAAACTTCAGAGTTGTACCCTAAAATGACCTTTATATGGACCTTTATAGGCCTGGTTCAAACCAGACACTGCAGGAGTCTGATTATTTGCCACCTTGAATAAAATGATTTATAACAAAGCTTCCCCTTTTAAAAAAGGGGGATTTCTGACCCCCACATCTGGGTTTACTCCTATAATTTCATAGCTTTCAATGACTACATGCTAGCGAGCTCACAGCTGCTTCTTTAGCAAGTCAATAAACCAGAGAGAGCCCACGGTTCCAAGGAGTGTCCTTACCTTACTTGGCTCTGTAATGGCCCATTAAATGTTTCCATCTTCAGCTATGTGAGACTTTAAAACACCTGAAACCGAAGATGCAGTTCTCTGTAGGAGTTTTTTTGAATTTTGCACATCACTAGTTCGGAATGAGGAATGATTCTTAAGTCTTGCTTATAAGTCTCACGTAGCAGTCCTCCCAAGGGACTGGAGCGCGATGACAGAAGTCCGCTCTTCTGTCCATATACAAGTAATTAAGTAAACTTTATTACTGTAATTAGTCATAATTTCATATTTATGTTAACATAGTTAAGGTGTGAGGTGTTTGTGTGGCTAAATCAACTAAATTTAGACCAGTAATGAGCAGGAGCTTTCTTCTTTCTGGCCTAGTTGAAAGGATAAAAATGTTGCATGTTCTACATGTAAGAATGATTTCTTATTGTAAGTGTCTGTACAGGGAACGGGAAATACCTCAGTTTCGATTTCCATACGTCTTATAAAACTAATGTATAGGAGTTACATCAATGATAGACGTGGCCGAATTTCCAAAGCATCTCACCGTATTGTATATCTTTTAGTACACCCTACTTTTAATAACAGATTTTGGGTTTGTGGCTGTTCCGGACTTCTTGTAGATAACCAGCCGTTTTTAAAAGTTCGTATGAAGGTGTGCATTTCTTTATTGAAAAATCCTGTTTTTCTAGTACCCTCTCTTCATCTTACAGCTGTAGACTAGGATGCCTCGCTGTCTTCAGAAACTCTAATTCGAGTAAAATAAATGCACAAAAGATTAGGACAATTAGTGACTAGAGAATTAGCTATGAATATTTCATGCCCTCTGCAATACTGTCTAAACACAAGATATGAAATAAGAATAAATTGCACTTTTGACATGCAGCAAACCTGGAAAGGAAATGACTAATCTAGAAAGACCTTGCAGTTCCTGTAACAGGGTGACATTCTAATCACTGGCCGTGTGTGGTTCGATGGATAAAGAGCAGGAAGATTTGTCCCATGGGATTATTCAACGTTCACTTGTGATTTGAAGTTATATTTAAATGTATTGTGAATGGCTTCATGGGTTTGGTCTGCAATAACCCAAACACAGCATAGACAGCCAAATGTTTCCATCAACTTTGATGCCAGCCTGAGCTCAGATTCAAGATGTGATCCAGTCTGCTAGTCCAGACAGAGAGGCAAATACAGCGGGAATCATTCCAATAGACAAGACGGCGGTGGGAAACGTTTGGCCCATGAGGCACGTGGGAATTGAAAGTCCCCGTGCAACTTCAGGAAGGTTCACTGGCTGTTCTAAACTGAAATGGGTAGCTCAGCCTGGTTTTCTCTGCAGCAGGACAGAGCTACTTCCCAAATCAGCTTTGCTGGCCTTGTATTAAACAGGAATGAAGAAAAGACTTGGAATAAGTCTTTTGTAGTCTAGCTTCAGCCAGTTCTTGGCTAAGTAAGCACAAAACCCGCATTTCCCACCTGGTATAAAAACAGAGGATATACAAACACAGGTTATATGTGATATATATCATATATATTATGTGTGTTTCATATATATATATTTCATATGTGTATATATTTTAATGTAATGATCTCATTGCCACTACTCACACATGTTATTCTAGATGGAAATTAAATGTTCCAACTTAATCATCCGGTTTGAATCCCTGCAACACTGAGTTTTTGGCAACGTCCTAAGTGGTAACATGGAAATGAAGATAGTAAGCAGTAAAGTTCAGTCTTTGAGTTAGTTATTCAATATTGTCCAGTATTTTTTGCATGTGATGGGCACAGCAGCATACACTGGCCAGACACCAAAGCAGCACAGGGGAAGAAAAGCCTTAAAACCGTGAACTGTTCCTGCTTGGGAGAAGAAAAGTGAGTTCTCCCATATATAACTCTAGTGAACTGGCAAGTGAGACACTAAAACCAACCACTAATTCGCAGTTTGAACCTAAAGGATATTGAATTTTCACTAATCCAACAGTGGACAAATAAGAAATGGAACACTGTAGTTATTGAAAACTTGATGACCTTGAAAAGACAAGACTGCACATATGGGTACTGCATCATGTAGTAAAATTATTTCTTCTCCTTGAGCTATTATTTACAAATCCGTTTTGGCTCTCCATATACTTCAAAACTGAACTCCATTTAATCTTATGAACAGTAGTAACTTGAGTGCAATAGAAGAAGCTGGTATTCTGTAATACAATAATGTCAGTTTTGTAAAAATTTCATTATGAAGCAAAACTGCTAACCAAATTAATTTCTGGCGCTAGAATTTTTCATTCCAAAGACCCGAAGTGACAAATGAGTTTATTGCTGTCGAGAGACCTATATTTTATTTTGGTCACTTAGTATTAATTAAATCTTGCCAGTAATTCTTTTGTGTGTGTTCACTTTGTTTAATGTTTTTATACAAAATATCGCTCTCTAAGGCATAGTTTACTGTGTGTTTACCAGCCACTTAATGTGTTTACAATGCTGTGTGTTGTTTCTTCGTAACAGCGCTCTGCACAGAGGAGTGTGTGCATGGAAGATGTGTTTCCCCTGACACGTGTCACTGTGAACCAGGCTGGGGAGGTACCGATTGCTCTAGCGGTGAGTAAAGATTACCAAAATGTGATATATAAAGATATATGCTGCTGGTAAAAAGAGGCCCTAAATAAAGCCTTAGATCTTGGATGCTTTAAGTGGAAAAATGGTTATTTTGCAACCATTCAAATGTGATAATGCCCTGTCTGATGCTAATGACTTTTGCCTTTTTTTGCCTGTTTTGACAAAGGAATGTTAAATGCAGTGGAGGATGCTTTTAATACTTTTGGTCCTGTGATTAGGATACCAATATAGATAACATAGCTTTATTCTGATTTTTTTCTTTCTTAAATCTTTAATACAGCACATTCTTCGTGAAATACTTTATGGAGTACTTGGAGTCGTTTGGAAAACACTTTCTCTAGACAGAATCCTTGGCCTGTTGAAGGCAGTGGGAGTTTTGCCGTTGACTTCATGCAGGCCAGATTCTACCTTCTGATTTGAAATCCACACCTTAAATTATCCGTACTGCAGAAGTTAAGGAAATGGTAGAGGTGGGAGTCCTGCACCTTTTGCTGGGAAATTAATTCACACTTGAGGCTTTCAGTTCTTTCAGCTGGAGAAGCTGTGTGTGTCAACCTCTCTTAATTGGTAATGATAAGTTTAAGTCTGTGATTAATTCATGCTGGAATGAAACAGCCAGCGTTCTTTCCAGTACAAACATCAGAGATATTATGTAACACAGGCCCAATACGTTACTGACACAACGGAAATAAGCTCGTTAAATGAAGTCTATCTGTGCGTCAGGCAAGTAAATAAAGCTGCATGGAGAAAGATGCTGTGAGTCAGTTACTGAATGTACGATTCATTTTGCTTTTACTTCCTCCCTTTCTCCCAAACTGATGGGGATCTTAAAATAGAGGCGTCATTAGCAGGCAAAAAGATAGCGGAAGAGGGATCTATAAAGGGAGGGATTAGGAAAGGTGTTAAACGTGACTGGGGACGAACACCTCCAGAGGCTGAAGTCAGCGGGGCAGGCTCTTCTCTGGCCAAGTTACTGGTGGTTTGGCTGCAGCTTTGCTGGTGTCTTCTCAGTTACAGCAGAAATGGCATTAGGGAGAGAGCGAGGACGAAGGAAAGAAAGGCCGGCCATGCTTTGGGGTTGGAAGCAACATTTTGGGATTACCTGTCACATAGACGAGGGAAAAATTGGGCAGCATAACATAGCGAGTATCTATCTGTAACTATTGTTAAAAGGAAAAACAGTACCTTCAATAGTAAAATATTGCATAGAATCTCGGGAATTCATTTTATTCTTGGTTATTTTTAGTAATAGATACGTTTAACCTAACAGCCAGTGAGTATTTATGCAGTGCGGGTGCACTTAGAGAAGTTAAAAATAATAATAAAAGCCCCCCCAAAACTGTAACAGCATGGACATAGACATAGATACATACATTTATACACGCATGCGTATATGGAGTAACAAGCACTCCGTTCTTTGTGAAAATTAAGAGTAAGGGATAAGATGTCAAGGTACAGATGGGTCTCATGTACTAAAACTACCCAGTGACTCTTATTAAATTGCACTAATCTTGCAAGTGAAGATAAAAAGAAGGTTTTCCCTATATTGAATATTTAGCTTTTAAAAGTAATTAGGAATATTAAAGCACTGACAATGATTGAGATAGAAACATTATTCATAACTTTTATTTCCGCACTGGGCAGCAATCCAGTATATTTCATTTATGAGGTTTCAGCAGTGGAAAGAGAAGCGTTAGCCAATTCCTAAATTAAATATGCCCTGTTAACTTTTATAAATGATAGCCCAGGATTAGCTTCAAAATTTAAGCTTTCCTTTTATTAATATAATTAGTGTGTTCGCTGGACTACGGTGCCCGTTGCTGTCCGTTCCATTTGTTAGAGCCGGGCAGCGTGTGCTTTTGTCCTAAGGCGCGATGTGACAAGCCCGGTCCGACCAGCGCTCGGAGGCGTGACTGGCCTCGCGGAAGTTGGCTTTCCCTGCCGCTGCGAGAGCTGCTCGCCTCTGTGCTTGACTCTACAAATGTGGATGATGGGCTTTTTTTGTGGTTAGGAGACTTTGTATAAATTAAACAGTGTAGAACAGATAACAGCTGAATACAGTACGTTGTTACTCTTGAATATTTCTAAGGGAGAAGAGAGAAGTTGGGAGCGTTTGCCTACCCGAGGTTAACTGGGTGTTTCTGATCCATGCATTTAGTCATGTCTGGTGGTTTCCCAGTCCTAATGGGGAAAACATTTTTCACTTCTACTGGAATAATGTATTACCTGTGCCTGCTTTCTTCCTATTGCTTCATTAATACCGGGCAGCTGCTATGAAGGTTACACATTTGCAGTAACAAGTGTCATTTGTTGGCTGTTTCTGAGCTCTGGTCCTGCAGGGCTGTGCTCTGGACACACGGAAGCTGTTGGCTGTTCCTGTGCCACCCCGCTCCCCGCGGGGCCGTAGAACTTTCTTGTATGGCCCTCAGTATTGATTTTCCTGAGTCACAGGCATATTGCTTATAATGTTGGCTGCTTAAAACTATTTTATTGGGAAAGGGATTGCTAGCCAAAAATTAAATTTAGAAAATCTCTTGAGGAGCTGTAATTGTTTTCTGAATGATCTCTCCAGAAAACAATATTGAGAAGTGGAGCCTCCCTGACACTGGGACGGATCTAGGGACACTCACTCTTTTGGAGATAGCGTTTCAACACCCTTCAGATGAGACCCATTATAAGTTTCTAAAAGTTATATGTAACTTTCATTTGGTTTGATGGGTGAAATTCAACCATAAGCAGAGCTCCAGCACAAGGTCCAAGTGTCACTTCAAACCACGATTCAGATCCAAATGTTTTTTCTGGTGTTCAGAGACTGTCTATGCCAGGAGAGGGTACAAAATCTGACATCGAGCACAGATTTCCTGTGAGAAGGCAAGGTTTTGGTGGTAAATGCAATTTCCCAGTGTTACCAGTCTCCCTTGGCTGGAATATACTTGGTTACACATTTTGAATTGTTACAGCTACAGCCTCTAGTCATCCAAACAATTTAATCATCTTTCTCAGACTTTGCTTCATGCTTTCCCAAAAGTGAGCCTGTAAGACAACCACAAAACTTGCTAATCGGTGCAGCTTTCCAGTGACTGATCACGGCACATGTTAGAGTTCATCCGTTGTCAAGGTTAAAATAACTTCAGATGAATTGCTAAACAATTATAAAAAAACCCTGTGCCATATTCAGCTCTGCATGCCTCTATACCTGTGTTTTACTGCATGCTGTTGTACATCTGTCGATGCCCACAGGCCTAGCCTTGATTTCATCCTATAAAGCTGCAATATATTAAGGCTTGATTACCATAACAATAAAAAGGGAAGTAATGAGGTATTAACTAAAGACGCTCTTGAATAAAATGTTTTTACCGTTTTAATGATGCTAAAAAATGAAAAGGAAAAGCCTTTCAAAAAAAAATCCCATACCTTTTCCCTTCTCTTTTAGCTTGTTTTGTTAAATCATGCCCGTTTTGTCCGTGCAATAGGCACTGTTGCTTTTTTAAACACAAAGGAAAATTGCAAATGCTCTGTGTGAACTTACCTGCTCACCTGTCCAATTATTTCAAAGCAATTAACTTCAAACAGTATGATATACTGGCTTGAAGTTCTGCTAGGAATATAATTGACTGTTGGTGGTTACCTGGCCTCTTCTGGGTCTTGATAATGGCCATCTGTATTTGCAAGCCGTTAGGCCCCCGTCCAGCAAAGCACTTAAGCATATCCTTAACTTGACACATGAGTAGGACTTTTCAGCTGCTTTAAATTAAGCAGGTGTTTAAGGAGGTTGCTGAGTCAGTTTTGAAGAAACAGCTAAAAGGACTTCAGTGTAATCCAAGCAAGCCTCTCAAGGAATTCGTCACACCTGTAAGGAATAAGGTGGTCTCTCTTTCCAAACGCTAAAACTCATCGGGCAATGTTATTGAAGGCCAGTTTGATTCTTATGAGCATTTTTCATTGTGGGGAAGGTGGCAGAAATCTTCCCAGTTGATAGAGGATTCACAAAACTCTGGATGACAAGAAGAAAAAAGAAAATTCAAGAGCCCTCAATTAAAAGCAAGAACCTTCCAGAATTGTGTGTGGCAGTCTGAGAAATTTCAAAGTAAACAAACACAGAGGTTGTAATGAAATCTAAAGTGCTTTTCAAAATGTTTACGTTGCTGTTAGATTCGGTAGAAAATACAGTACTTGCCCAAAGTGTAATTAAAGAGATGTTGGCATAATAATGCCAAACCATCTTTCTTCATGCTGTGTCACCTGGGGAGAGAGACCGTAATGTTGCTGCCTGGCATAGGCTGATCAGTAATGTACACACATGGGTAACAGAGTTCTCTTTGGAAAGGATGTTTTGCACAAGCTGTCATTAAGAGAAAGAACCTATTTCATCTTTATTTCTTTGTCAAAACCAGCCAAGGTCATAACAACAGGCAAGTATAACATCACAGCAAGCTCACATTTAAGGGTATAGCCCTGGAGCAGCTGGAGTGCTTCAGTTCTGAGGCTTGTGATAAATGAGAACTGCAGATACTTTGCTAAATCTGAAGGGGGGTTGCTTGACAAACTCTGGAAAGCAACAGTAGAAATCTCTGGAGAAAAATGGAGTATTTTAAAGTGAGTCTGCGGTGGTTTTCAGGCTTGATTTTGGCTTCCGTGTTAATGCTTTGAACTGTTTCTGAAGAAGAAACAACGTTCAAAGGAAAGATTCCTGGTTTGTGAGTAGAGGCTCAAACAAAACTCAGCCTAGTGTCAGAGGCTGATCTGCTGGAATCATTAGTGAATGTTTTGTCCTCGGGTTTTTAGGACAGCATTGACTGGGAAACCACCAAAGAGGTGCAAGACCTCAGCTGTCCTAACCCGTTAGTGGGCCACTACTTAGATTCCTTAGATGTCCTTGAAGGACATCTGTTTGTGTTTTTTGTGTAGGATTTTGTCTGTGCCGTGCATTTTTTATCACAGCGACTGCTGCATCCAACTGCCAAATGAGGTGACAGATCCGC